GCAACTCGGTCATGGGGAAGAAGCTTGACGCTTTGCTTGGTCGGAGTTTCAAGACCAGCAAGTTCAAGTCTCTTCTCAACTTAGCTCTCACAAGGCTCTCTATTCTCAAGAACCAACGTCAGGTCAGATTCACTCAAGCCGTCTCTGATGTCACCGAGCTTCTTAAACTTGGTCACCACGAGAACGCTTACCATAGAGTCGAACAAGTCGTAAAAGACCAGAACACTCTCGACGTTCTCTTCTTCATCCATGACTATTTCACCCTCTTGCTCGACCGTGTTCACCTCTTTGAACACAACAGAGATTGTCCTGAAGAGCTTCTAGAAGCTGTTTCGAGTTTGTTCTTTGCAGCTTCTAGAATCGGTGAGTTCCCTGAGCTTCAAGAGATTCGTAACGTTTTGATTTCGCGTTTCGGTAAAGAAATCGCTGCTCGGTCTGTTGAGTTGCGCAATAATTGTGGGGTTAATCCTAAAGTAAGCAACTTTGATTCACAAAAGCATACTGTATTCAAATAACGTTATATATATTAGTAATAGTTAACTGAGTTTGTTACATTCATGTTTTCCTCTATAGATAATTCAGAAGCTGTCGACAAGACATCCACCGAGAGAAGTTAGAATGAAGGTCTTGAAGGAGATTGCTGCAGAGAACAACATTGTTCTGAAACTAGAAGAGGCCTCTACTTCCACTCAGGTATGGGAATCTGCAATTAAAACCACAAAAGAAATTAAATAAATGAAGAGAGAATCATGTTCTAATCGAATTTATAATTTATGCAGGGAACATCAGATGTTTCTAAGGCTAAGTTAGCGAGTGAAGAAAGAGTAGAAGATGAGATAGGAGATGGTAATGATGGGTTATCTGATTCGGTTAAGAGAGGAAAGAAGAAGTACAAAGATGTGGCTGATGCTGCACAAGCAGCGTTTGAGTCAGCGGCTCATGCAGCAGAGGCTGCACGAGCAGCTGTGGAGCTTGCTCAGTTTTCTCCTCGTGGACCGGACAATCGGGGTAATATTGGTGGGGGAAGTTCAACTACCCGTTCCGAAAGAAAGAAATCGGAACAAGAACAAGAAGGTAACGATGATGATGTTTCAGATGATGAAGGATCTAGCCAAGTGGATGCAAGGTCAGAATCATCTAAGAGGTCTAAGCCAGATTCAGAAGAAATGATTGAGGATTTCCCCGTGATGTCATTTAGAGAAGATCCTGTGAAGCTGTTGGAGAAGGATGTTGTTATCTACGACAGTGAGGAAGAAACCC